TTGTTTTTTCTTCGCCAACTTCCTTTTGCTTTTCTTTATTAGTTTTTTTTAATAATTTTATTAAATATTTTAAAGATTGTTAGTTGGACAAATGCTTTTTGTTAAATTCAAATTTAATATTTTAATATGATTTTTAGCTAGATTATATTTAGAAATACAATAGCTAGCTATTTTTAGTTTAGCTAGTTGGCTAAGCCAAAATAACTAGTTATTGCTATTCTTAATTATATCTAATTTTCTAATAATCATTATATTAACAGACTATTTATCTGATATTACAAAATAATAATTTACTAATAATATATATAAGAGTTTAAAATATTAACTATGAGAATTTTAATTCACACAATTTAGATTTACAGAACAGGTTTTGCTATATTTCAATTAGTATACACATTTATTTGAATTGTTTTGCTTGTATATAGTAATAACAAATAGTATCATAATGTTTAACTATATATATATATTTTTTTTAAAACAATAGTTTGAACGAACATAGTATAGTAGTTACAAATATAATATGATAGCTAGAACAGAACTAGTATATTAGTTAAAACAGAATATATTTAAATATAGTATAGTAGTTAAAACTGAATATAGTATAGTAGTTAGATTCTGAACTTAGTATAGTAGTTAGAACTGAACTTAGCATAATAGTTTAAATTAGAATATAGCAAGGCAATTTAAATTAAAATATAGCATAGTAGTTTAAACTAAAATGCAGTATGATATATAGTTTGACATAGCATAGTAATAAATATAGCATAATAGTTTGATTCTAGTATATTAGTTTGAAATAAACATAGTATAATAGTTTAAAATATAGAATAGTAGTAAACTGGATATAGTATATTAGATTTAGATAATATAGTAATCAGATTTATAGCTAGTAATTAAATACAAAACAGTTAGATTTAGAGTATAATATGTAGCTTAATTTAAAATAATTATAAATTCTGGATATAGTAGATAGTTAGATTCTAAATATAGCATGCTAGATAGATTCTGGATATAGTATAGTAACTAAATTCTAGATATAATAATAGATTCAAAATTTAGTATAGTAATTAAATTTAATATAGCAATAGTAACTATAAAATTTTTTTGTATTTTTTTATACTAATAGACTAGTATGTTCTTGTCTAATAAATAGATCATTTATATTAAAATTTATCTAATTGCTTATAAGTTAGTAAACAAGTAAAAAATATGATATCTATAAAGAATTGAAATATGAAAATTATAGTATTTTGTACTTATATATATAATCTTTATTAACTAAATTGTTTATTAATAATATAAATAATAAATAATATAACTAAATTAAAAAAAAACTATTAACTAAGAATACACATATATGAAAAGTATGAACAGGATAAAAAACTAACATTAACTATAAAACATAGTATATATTCATACATATTCTATATATACTCTATATCTGATATATTGTAGCTTATAAATATAGTTGCATAGTTTATATTTAAAAAAATAATAAAAAAAAACTAGGTATTGTTGTTTGAATTGCTATTTTTAAATTTTTAGAGAAAATTTAATATTTATTTAGCCAAAGTATAATTACCTTGCCAATTGCTAAATTACTTTAATCTATAAGATGAAAAGAAAATAAAAACAATAAGAACCAATATTAAAAATCTTAATAATAAAATTGATAATTTTATAAAAAATATATATGGAAAAAAGATATATAGAAAAAGAGTCTATTCAGTAACTTCTAATAGCAACAATAGTAGCAGTGATAGTAGCAATAACAATAGTAATAATAGTAGCAATGATAGTAGCAATAATAGTAACAACAACAGCAGTATAAACAATAATAGCAACAATAACAGAAACTATAGTAGCAGAAACTACAGTAGCAAAAACAACAGAAACAAACAAAGGAACAAAAAAGCCTCTAAAAAAAGGTTCTAATTACTTTTCTCCAAAACAAAAAAGCATTAAGAATATAATAATATTAATAATTATATATATTTTATTTATATTTAGATATTTTTTCATATTTTTTTAATACTAGTTAATTTTTATTAAAGTGAACTATATAGATATCAGATGCTTTTATTTATTAATTAATTTAAATTTATTATAATAGAAAAATATTAAGATTTTATTTTTCAGATTAGAAAAATCTAAAAAATCTAATCTATCTCAAGTTTAGTTAGAATTTAAGCAAAAATTTCTCAAAAATTTTTTAAAATAGTGAAACATGATATAAGAAGGTACTAGGTGAATGATAACTAAATACTCAAAATTATTAAGAAATACTACTAGCATCAGCATAAATAGTATTTAAAAAACAAAACTCTAAAAGAAATATACAAGTATTTGCAAAAAATCAAGAAAATCGAAAGATAGCTGCAATAAAAATTTTTTTGTATCAATATTTTATTTATATGACTATTAGTAAAATTTTAATTATACTTTTCAAAAAATTAACTGTCAAAAAAAAGGGTTTACCCATTTACAAATAGTATGCATTTCACAAATCTCTTCTCTTTTGATATAACAGAGCATCAGGCTCTGAATGACTTAAAAAAAATAATAAAAAAAAGTAAATACTATAGTAATAGATATTTGAAACAAATACTAAACTAGCTAAAAAAGAAGAAAAGCAAAACATTTATTCTGAAATTGAATTTGAAAAATATAGTTATATTGTAAAAGTTGTAAAAAAAGAATAGCAATCAGAAACTATATTATTACAATAGATAATTATATATACAGTATATAGATATCGATACTAATATATTTTAATATACTTTTAGTTAGAACAGATTTTGTTGCTATACAAAAATACTGCTATGTATAAAATTAAAATAAGTTAAAAAAAATCAATAGGAAAGCAATAAAGTTGCAAATAATTTTATACTATTAGCTAGAGCTTCTAGTTGATATATTTTATCTTTAATCTCTAATATAACCTTTCTTATTATATCTTGTAGTTTTCTTGATAGCTTTACTAGTTCTGGTAGTACTACTACTGCTGGTTACATAATGCAAATTTTTATAGTTTTTCAAATTTAAGTCTTGGTTATATCTCGACTATAAGTTTGGATTATACTTCTATTACAAGTTCTAGTCGTATCTTGCTACAAGTCCTGGTTAGCCCTTACTACAAGTTTTATTGTGCTTCTGCCACAAGTACTGGTTATGCTCTTGATATTTGTTCTAATATAAGTATCACTAATACACATCCTAGTAGAATCCTTACTAGTAATATTTATACTAAAGAATCTAGTGATACTCTTAATATTATTACTAGTAAAATCATTAATATTTTAATATGTTATTTATAACTTGTTACTAAAATTTTTGTAATAGTTTATTTATTTAATCTCTGAAGATAATACAACAATTATTAATAACAAAAATAATAATATTAGTAAAGATAATTATAAATCAAGTAATATATTTGCTAATTTTTATATAACTGCTGTTATAGTTCTGATCTAAAACTTATATTTTTAATCTTATTATTAAAATTTAGAATTTAATGCTAATATGCAAGGTATTATTTAATAAATTAGCATTATTTTTAATTAATTCACAATATATTAATTATTTATTTTATAATTTAGAATTAAATAAAAATATTTTTGATATTCGTTCTGCTAATATAGTTAAATCTTTTACATTGGGAAATTTTATATAGAGATATATATCGATTGATAATCTACTAGATATATATCGATAGCAATCACCTCTGCTGGGTTATATCAATTGTGGTATATAATGATAGATAACCAGTTTTAAGGCAATTGATATATATCAATTTAGATATCGATCAATATATAACAGGTTTAAACAAGTAATTTTTTTTAATAAACGAAACTACGAAATTTATATAATATGTAATTTTTATAAACACTATATATCAGTAAATTCATTATAAAGCGATATATAATTATATCACATTGTATATATTATCATGCTATATACAGCACAAATACATAATTTTATTACAGATTATAAATTTAATACATAATAAATCGCTAGCAATTAATTCAAAAAAATATATTTAAAGCAAAAAACATTAATTGCAACCAAATAATTTATCAGCATCCTCTTGAGAGAGTCCCATTTGACGCTGAGATGAGAATGAATCAGCGTATTGAGATAGCAAAAGTTTAGCTTCGGGTTCAGTTTTATAATGGGGTGATGCTTGTCTTGAACTACCACCACGACGTATATTTTCATTGTTTAATATCGCTTCGGCTGAATCATACGATGGACCACCATTATCAAAATCATTCTATATTAATAATGATAAAAAAATAACAATTAATAATAATTAATAGTAATACAAATTAATAATAATTATACTTATAAGGTATCTTTTGATATGATGTATAAGGCATTTTTCTGTACACGTGATGCTTTTGGACTGGGAATTTAGTAAAAAATCACAGACCGTGAGTATAAAGGCGCAATGATCATTGGAGAGTTCAGGTATAGCAACCTCAGTGAAGACCGACCTCGCAATTATAGATACCAAAAAACACCATCACTGTTTATTTCAAACAGTATACGAAAACAATCACGAACTTCTTCGCTTTGTTTCCAACTTAAAATATCAGCTGGTGCAGCATTTCGCTTTAACAGTAACAATTGTTCACATCCAAATACGCGCTATACTGCTGCCCTTACGTTTTGAACCAACGCACCTCAAAGGTTCTTCATTTTTTGCAACAACTAGTTTCGAAAATAATAAAAAATCAAAAGTGAAAGAAATATAAATATTAACAAAATAAAACAAAAAAAAACAATAGATATCGATATATACGGGCTGAACCATTCTCTATGAAACCTATTAGTATATTGGTTGGAGCTTAGATTATGCATGAATTCGGAGAACTTCTCTTCAAGATATTGCCGAAGAGAATCCTTCAAATCATTTTGGCTGGGATATATATGGCTCAGAAAGAGCTGCTTCATCACACAGATAAACACATCCTATAATATATATATTTTTTTACCTTTCAGCACAAATCAATATGCTATATACCACTAGAACCTAAATTTACATAGCGGATTTGTTGCAAAAATAAAAAAATGAAAACACTTACATCTATCACTTGTGTGGAGAGATCGTTCTCTCTTTCATCATGTTGCTTTTCCAATCGCTCTAGCCTGGCTTTTATTTCGTTCGTACTTTCGTCAAGCCTCTTAAGTATTAAATACAACTGCTTAAGTTGAGCGAATATTCGCTTATCAACTTGCTGGTGGTAATTGTTATGATGGTTTGCTTAATTATATATATATATATATATATATAAAAATTGTAAAAAAAAAAAATTGTAAAAAAAAAAAATTGTAAAAAAAAAATTGTAAAAAAAAAAAAAAAAAAAGAATCTGAAAATTGGCAAAAAAAAAAAAAAAGCCTTATATATATACCATATTGATTGTGTGTATAGTTTTGATTTGCTGATCTTCTATCACTATTATGTGATAGAGATCTATCTCGTGATTGTTGTCTTGAAGAATGTCATTAAGATGGAGATAATGATCGATCATGATCACTATGTCAAGATATAGGGCGAGATCTAGATTCATAGCGAGATCTAGATTCTTGGCGAGATCTAGATTCATGGTAGGATATAAATTCATTTTGAGAAGTGGATAAAGGCTGGTGAGATATGGATTCATGACGGGAGCAGGTGGAGGATGGTTGGCATAATTGATGTCTATCGCTCATATTTGAAAACATTTGTTAAATACTTCTAATGCTTCTAGAGATAGAATTAGAAGAAGAACTATCATCGTTAGGATTGGGTGGTTGATAAAGTTTAGCAATATTATTATTATCAGGGTTTAAAAGTCAGAAGATATTGGATTGGGAACGAGTAACAGGTCTTGCAGGATATGGTGATATATTATTTCCAGTTGTATTTTCCATTTTCAAAATTCATTTATCAAAAATTTTTTATCGTTACCTTTTGTGTTAAGCCTGTGTATTTATATTTAATAAAACTATTGTGCAAGAAAAAAACAAATTAATATCTAACAATATCAACCACTTATGATAAAAGAAAATATAATAATGCAAGAATACTTATTTATATAAAATTTACTCACGTAATTAAATTTAAAGTATAATAACATAAGAATACTTATTTATATAAAAATTTACACGTGTCATTAAATATAAAATATCTGAGATTTAAAAAATTATTTTAAAAAATTAATAACTGATATTGTGATTTTATTCTCTCTGCTAATAGTTGAGGTCAGGATTGCTTTTAGAACAGAGATCAGACCGGTCGAACTATACTGAACCGATCTATCTCTATTTATAGTATGTAGTTCAAATAAGTTACACAATACTACCAGCTTTATACAAAATTATGCTTGCTATAATATCGATATATATCGAACTATAAATATTGTATATGCACCATTATTTTTAATAAGATATTTATGAAAGCCGATCCAAACTGGTATCAGGACAGGACCAGTTAACTATAAGATGGTTTAAAAAGACCGGTCTTTCTAGGACCAATCCATCCCTAATATTAAATATAAACTTTATATATTATTTATACTATCATTTTATCACTAATGCTTCTATATATATTAGATATTTAATTACTAGTATAATTATAAATCACTTTGGTTCATTTGTAATTAATAATCATAACAAAAAGAACTCTTGATGATATTTTATTTCTGTTAATATTTTAAACAAAATAACAAGTTGTGCTATGATTACTAATAATATTACTTGCAATTTATAGAGGTTGATTTATCGATCTGTATCAATCATATTAAAAGTTTGAGATTTCAATATAATAAAGATAATTTACTAGTTTAAATAAATTATATAATATATCAATGATCAATTTTTGTAATTAAATTAATTAAAATATAAAGTTTATTTTGTTTAGTGTGTTATGTCATCAAAACATTTATTCGATAATTGCTTGATCGAAAAACAAATTTAATTTATATATATATATTCGTTTTAATTGATATATATCGCTTTAGATTCACATAACTTATATTCATTTTTTACTAAACTCTAGTTTATTTTTTTTACATCTAAAAACCTATTATTTTCATACTAATCGATATATATCGATTTAACAATTTAGTTATTTATATAACTTCTAATTGCTTTAAACTAATTTCTTTTCGTTATTCGATCTCTCTTATTTTATTTTTTTTTTAATCAGATTCTAGTATCCTAGTAGTTTTCTTTTTTTTAGTTTTTTTTTATTTATATCTTTTTTTCTCTTTTCAAATACGCTGGTTGTGTGAGTATTGCAAGCGAGAGTTTTTAAAACCTTATGCTTTAACACAACATATTTTGCAAAGGCACCCTTATATCCAAGATGATACAAATCAAATTGCTTCTATTGAGCAATTTGATGATTCTATTTGGCAACTTCCAGATTATAACGATTATAGTTCAAGTGATGAATATTCTACAGATTATAAAGTAATTTATAAGTTTATTATAGATATAGTAATACCTATAGTA